GTCACGAGCGAACGCGGGCAGGACGGGCGATATAGATGGGCGAGATAGATCGGTTGGATCTATACATCTTTATCTCGGCCGATTGCATTGTTAGCATGAAGCGTATTGTTTGAACGTCATATCGGCGCGAGGCCTCGGGCAACCAATCAGCGTTTGCGGTAGCCGTGCCTTATCAAAGATTTCCGCCACCTAGCCGCAGGGCTTAAATCAACCTATCCTCCGACGATCCTTTCTGCAGTTTGCGCAACTCTGTCGCGCGAGGAGAGTAGCGAACTGGCAATAAGAGATCAACCCTAATTGCCAGACTTTGGCCAAGAACTCGTAATAAGCGCGCGAGATATCGCTCTTCGATCCATTTCTCACGTTTGCCCCGGGACGCCGAAAAATTAGGAATAGCGATAACGCGCATAATTATCGTCGCGTTCCAAGACTCCGTGCGGACACTTGCGACAATTTATAACGATTTAATTATCCGCGCTCGATACACACACGCGTCACGTTAATTAATATTCATCGATAATGGAATATTAGACAACACGTCTGTCGCGATATAACCGTGTGGCGCTCATCAAGCAATAATAAGCAACGGTAATTACTCGTTAATTGGATGACGTCGCGTTTTAATAACCATTTCGGAATATGAAAACGAGTGACAGATCGGTGTACGAAAATCCTTGGGACGTTCATAAACGGCACGATTGTGCAGAAATAACGTTCCGACCGCCGTCAAAAGAATTAAAAGGATACAACCCGAGATACAACTTGGACTCACGGTGTTGCATCGTCGCATTTATACATCCACTTTACGATCTCGGAAGTAACTCGGCGACTTTAACGTAAATCTCTCGCACAAGGTCGTCTTTAATGTCATATCCGACGGTCGCCTCGTCAACGAACGTTCAGTAAATTGGTGACGTAATTACGGGTCTCTGCTTGCTCACGGGCTTACCCGTCTTATGAAATAGCTCGTAACGGCCGATCGAAACTCATATCGTTTTACCAACGAAAATACGTATAGGAACATGTACGTAACGAATCATGATAGCGACGTGCTGCTACAGCTGTCGAACATCCGCCGGTGTACGTGTAACTACCCTCCGACGACGCATGGCCGTGTGTATGCGTGTGTGTGTGTGTGCGTGTGTATACGCGCATATAGGGTGCTCGCGCAAGAGGGTAAGCACCGAAGGGATGAAAGTAGCGAAGATGAGTTTGAATTTGGTCCGTAGCGCGCGTCTCGTTAATTTTTCGTTCCGTGTCGCTGCATTGTTTGTTCGGGAAAAGGGTGTTTATTGCCCGCAGCTCGAGACAAGAACTATCGTGTCGTCTGCACGCGTTATTTACGGGAATGTGCAAGGGAGCGAGAGAGCACGACTCTTGTGCCACGTTTTAATGATCACGATCTAACGAGCATAAGCCGCCTGCGAATCTCAACAAAGCAACGTGCGGAACGACCGTGGAATGAAATCGAAAAGATAGCTGCAATTAATGGAGTGTTATCACTTGTTCCCAAATCACTTGTCACCATCACTTGTTTCCATGCAAGTTCATCATTTATGTATCTACCAATCAGACAGCGCATAAATGCGAAAGCTTTTCTATAAATAAATCGAAAAATTATATTCTTACGTTCTATATGAATGCCTTCCTTTTCTTTTAGCAATATTTTAAGAGTATTTTATTAAAGATGGTATCGATTGAATCGATATTGAAATTGGTAGCGAGTAATGAAACCTTCTTTCCCAGTAGGTCGGGCATTGAAACGGGTCGAGCTCTATATTTTTGTATTTTCGCTCTCGTCCAAACGGGAGGAGTTGTACGGCCGCGGATCAGCGAGCAATCATACTTGAATAGGCAGCACGCACACGAGAGGCCGGCGTGCGTACCCGCGCGTATAAGCGTGGACGCACGTTGATTCGAAATCATTGTGCCATACCCTGTCGACAATCGAACCTCGACGAACCTCGAATTTCGTATGCTGCCGCACGAATTTCCCCTCGAAACGGATGATTCGCGTGGGTGGATCAGGCGGAAGGTCGATCCGTTTCTTCTCGCGAAAACAAAAATATCGTTCCGTGTAAACCCGATAAACAAAACCACTGTCGTACTGGCGCAACAATCAACAGAGAGACACGTTCTAAGGCTTTCGCGCGAATTGGCAAATTTAATTTTCCAATTTCACGCGCTCGCAATGAATTCTTCTACTTGTGTCGCGCGACTGATAGTAAAAACCTTCGTGACATGATCGCGGATAATATATTTGCGAGTAAGCTTCTGTAAAGAGAGGCGCACGCGATAAGACACCAACAATATTAAATGTGTCTGATCCAGAAATATGTTTCTGGATAGCTGTCTTGCTTGTAACATGGATGTAGAAAGAAAATTAGATTAAACACGCACACACGTAATGTTACCAGTCCCAAGATTGATATCAATAATTTTTAACTTATATAGGCTGCATTTCAACCGCATTTTTTTTTATTCTTCGTGTAACATTGGAGTAAAAGTTTTATTTCAGGCAAAATAGAGATGTACTTAACTGTCTATAACACACACACACACACACACAATTCCTATGATTCCGTATATATTTTTCGTGTTGTTTTTTGTCCGTCGCGGTATTTATTGAATATTCTTAAAAGCTAGTGCAACGTATTCAAAAATACCACAGATATACATATTTCATTTAGACACTACCTATGGTCGTAATACAAACAACGCGCTACGCGAATCCATCAAACGTGCTATCGCCATAATTCAACCGTGTATTTCGACCATATCTCTGAGTTATTTCACGTTTCGTGCGACTCGTAATAAAAAAATACAAAAGGGCACAAAAACTAAAAGCAAATGGATAAATTGTAACTGTTATAAAACTGGTCATTTTGTGTATTTTAAAAACGCGGCGAACATAAATACGTTTGTTCTTCGCATCCTGAATATTATTCGGCCAACAATAAAACCATGCTTTATATGTTATATAATTTAAATATTATCCTCGAGCAATTCTTTAAACGTACTCGCGATGTTTTTGATATTAAAATTTTTGTCAGATGATTCTTTTACAACGTGTTTCGCAACAAAGCACAGCATGAAAAATTTCGATGGATTCGATCGATATCCGAAAATAAGTGAAACTTTACGAAAAGATTAATTTTTATCCTTTTTACGTATCGCAAATCTAATCCTTAATTACATCTATCGAAACACAACCAGCGTGTGGAATTAAACAGATACAAGAGATTATAGAAATCAATAAATATAATGAATTAAATACATTTGTATTTATGTTTGCTACGCTCGAATAATTATTGTGTAACGGTTGAAGTGTAATCAAGACAACCAATCTTGTCTGATAAAAATCAAATTTTTATCCGAAACGTTCGTCAAAAATTATGAGCAAAATTTGCTTTCGTAAAAATTATATTTACTTTTAAAAAAAGTAAAGTAAAGTAAAATAAATTGTGCAAATTAGAAATTTGCACATGGCTTCTTCATAGAGG